CCTCCCTCCCTCCCTCCCTCCCTCCCTTCCTTTTTTTTTTAGGAAGAAGTTTTTCAAGACAGCATTTCACTGTGTAGCCTTGGCTGTCCTGGAACTCACTCTGTAAGCCTGGCCTCAAACTCAGATATCTGCCTGCCTCTGCCTCCTCAGTGCTGGGATTAAAGGCATGTGCTACCACCACCCAGTTTACATTAAAATTTTTTCTTTTCTTTCTTTTTCTTTCTCGAGACAGGGTTTCTCTGTGTAGATTTGATGCCTGTCCTGGATCTCGCTCTTTAGACCAGGCTAGCTTTGAAGTCACAAAGATCCACCTGCCTCTGCCTCCCAAGTACTGGGATTAAAGGTGTGCACCACTGCTGCCTAACATATTAAAAATTTTAACAGTAGCAGAAGTCAGTTATGAAGTAGCAACAAAAATAATCTTATGGTTGGCGGTCACCACAACATGCAACATGAGGAAATATATTAAAGGGTTACAGCATTAAGAAAGGTGAGAAACACAGTCCTAGAGCCTAAAAAAAAAAAATGGTTCAGAGTGTTTACTGCTTTTCCAGAGTACACAAGTTCAAATCGGAGTACTCAAATCAGGGGGCTCACAACTGCCCATAACTCCAGCCCCAAGAGACCTGTGCCCTCTTCTGGCTTCCATGGGCATGCATACAAAGATACATACACATATATAAGCAAAAAAATTTTTTTAATTATATAATACAAATTCTAGACCCAGAGCTAAGCCTATGAACATAGCAGTCTTTTTGCAGCTTTTAATGGGGGGTTGGGGGGTTGTCAGAAAAGAGAAGCATATTCCTAGTCTTCTCTACACAAACACACTTTTTCTTATCATGGTGCAGCTACAGCTAGAGATCCTAACATGCTGACCACAAAGGAAAGGAGACAACAAAAAAATTATACAAATACACATATATGTATAATAAAGATCTATACAGTATAATATATATACAATATAAAGATGTATATACATAGATATACATATAAATACATAAAGCTTACACTTATGGAAGACAGACAATAACTACATTAGGAACTGGTAACTACAACACATAAGCCAAACCTGCTTATCTTTCTAAGTAATGTTTACAGCTATGCCCACTTTACACATTGTCTGTGTAAATTAAGTGGTTATCAAAGAAACTGTTTAGCCTACAAAGCCAAAAATATTTTGTATACAGACCTCACAGAAAAAGAATGTCAACTTCTAAAGTAGAGCTTTTTATTAAATCCATTAATAAATGTGACAAAGATTCTAGCTGACATGAAGCAGTGAAGGGATCCTGCTGAATACATGAATGAGGAACAGGGTAAGGAAAAGCCCCAAAGGAAAGGCTAGAACAGAACATGGGGATGATATGAAGGTTAAAGGCACACAATACACACCAGAAACCAATAGGATATCATGGTGGCTTGAACCTAAGAGTGCAAATCTGAGCTAGGTAGTAGTGGTGGTGCACACTTTTAATCTCAGCAGTCAGGAGGCAGAGGCAGGTGAATCTCTGAGTTCAAGACCAGTCTGGTCTACAGTGCAAGTTCCAGGGCAGCCAGGACTGTTACACAGAGAAACCCTGTCTCAAAAAAATTTATAAGGTGACATCTGAAAAGGCAGGGAATTTATTGGTCATAACCTTCATTTTGCATCTTTAACTGGAAGGCAACAAGATCAGAGAGAAGAAAAGGAAAGCTACATGTGAAGAACTTTGCTTTTAAAAGATTTCTCTGCTTTGTGAAAATAACAGGAGACTACATGAGCAACAGTAGATTTAAGAAGTTAGGAGGGGGACTGGAAAGATGGCTCAACAAGTGGTTAAGGGCACTCACTGACTGTTCTCCCAAAGTACCTGGGTTCAATTCCCAGCTCTCATGTGACAGCTAACAACTATTGGCAACTCCAGGATCAGACAAACATGCAGGCAAAACACCAATGCATATAAAATAAAAATAAATACATTATTATGAAGTTAGGAGGGGCTGCGCAGTGGTGGCGCATGCCTTTAATGTCAGCACTCAGGAAGCAGAGGCAGGCACACCTGAGTTCAAAGACGGCCTGGTCTACAGAGCGAGTCCCAGAATAGCCAAGGCTACACAGAGAAATCCTGTCCAAAAGAAAACAACAACAACAACAACAACAAAAACAAGGATAAGAGAGATCAAAAACTTGTGATGATAGCTTAAGACCCAGGAAGCTAGAATGGCAGAACTTGGTCAATGACTATACAGGAAAGAGCACAGGGAGATTGCTGACAAAGGAGATTCCCAAACCATGCCCTACATAACTAGTTTAAAAGGCAGAAACCAATAGAACAAAGACCCTAAAGGGGCATCAGGAGACAATTAGCTCAATTGAAAATACAGATGCACACTAAGAGGTGGTAAAATGTCAGTTACTTAACAGAAAGCCTAGGTCACTTTTTTGGTGGGTTTTGATGAAAACTCTTATCATAATTTACTTTTATGTCTAAAGTAAATAGACAAAGAAGTAGTAACTGGTATGTCTCAAAGCCAGGACAAATGGCTGAGGTGTCTATTTAACATATCAAAGCAGACAAAACTACCAGGTTCTAAAAGCTGCCCTCAGTCTCAGTCCCTATCTGTTATAAGGTTATGACTGGCATATCCTTCCCTATGTAATCCAGACATTTTTGTTACCCAGTCCTTTTTGTCTACCCTTTACCCTCCTGGCCTCTTGGTCTCCTGGTTCCCTATCCCCACAACTCTCCTCACATGGCCTGGTTTAGGGTCTGTTTCACTTTGGACTCTCCCACATGTCTCTGCCTCAGGCTATGCTCTCCTTTTTATCAACAATAAATATTATCCGCCACCATATCTAGGAGCAGTCACTTCCTCCTTTTTTATTTTTTATATTTCTTTTTTTTTCATTCAGTAACTTACAGAAAAATGTTAAAAGTAAAATGTAAAAATGTTAAAAGAGCAAAAGTCAGAAAAATATCTACATTTTTGCCTGAGATTTTGCTGATATGTTCAACTGAACCTGAGTAAATAAGATAAAGGCAAATAGTAGTTTCATTCTACACAGGTTAAAAGAAACATGGATTCCAGTTATCAAAGTTTGCAAATATGACTCTTTTTTTCAAGTATGACCTTTTAATGCTAATCTTATTCCTAGTTTAATCTTCTCATGGGTTAAAAAAAATAGCCATTTTGCAATTCACATTATTTGTATTTTGAAACATCACAAAAGGTAATACTGTATGTAGCACTCCCTCAATGAATGACCCTATATGAAAGACATTTCTCCAGACTTACTTTTCAAGCTCTTCCTGAGAATGGGCAAATGTACAATTTGTTCCTCGTGGACAACCCCCTTGTTGTCGCAAATCTCGGCACATGCTAGTTTTGTACTTGCTGTTTGGCTGAGGCTATACCAACAAGCATTTAGCAAATGGAAAAGAGAAGATATCAGTTACTATTCACTCTTTGGACTTTAGAACTAACTTAATGAGTAGACCACCCTTAAGTCTCTTTCACAACAGAGAAGGAATTTTCATGCAGAAAAAGTTCCACCCATCATTTCCTATTGTGAGAGTGGCAGACACTCCTGAGGGAGCCTTCAGGTCTTCTTTCCAAAGGTTAGTTGAAACTGACTCAAATTTATATCTATTTATTTCTCAGACAATGTAATTTTCATGGAAAATATTTCTCAATTTATTACTATCTTCAAATTGTGATAACAAAATGAAACAATTTGTAAAAGCACTTTAAAAAAAAAAAAAAGGCAGACTTGATCTTTACCCATTTAAAACCCTCCCAGAAAAGTTGAAGGGAAAATTATCACTTCATTAGTTCACTTGCATGACAGTGATGAAAGAAAATGAATCTTAACTGCTATAATGTGCATCAAAATCTAAGAAGTTGCTCTTATTTCTGTGACCTTAATAAGATAAAGCATTCCTCATTCAGTTGGCACCTGAATATTATATTTACTGAATAAAATATGGATAGAAGAGTAAGAAGTTATCAGATTTGGGAGTACTTTTGACCCTACCTCTTTCAGATACTGATAGCATACCTTTCAATATGATATCTAAACCCTTTAAATTTCAGCTTGGCAATAGCAATTACACTCCAGTTAGTTGTCAAGATTAGAAATAAAATATGTAAAACATTATACACAGGAAGTGGCCCAAAACAACTCAACAAATGAAGAGTCATTTGGATAAGGAATTATATTTTAACTTCCCATTCTAAAGCACACTAAAAATATTGGGGAATTTCAAATTCCATATATATTACAAAACAGATTTTCACTTGAGAGATAACAACAGAGTAAAAAACTTACTGCTGAAAAAAAAAATGTTTGGAATGAATCAATACATTTGCAATCAGGAATTCATGTCCAAACACCCTCTGAACTCATTATATATTGAAATGCTAACCAACTCAAATAAAAAGTGAGTTTTTCCCAAAAGTACAAAATCAGGTTTCCAAGAAGGCTAGGTATGTCACTCAATGTCAGCGTTGTAGCCAAGCCTTTCAGGCATGGAGCTTTGGGTTCAATGCCTGTGCAGCCACACATGTACATCCACACATGCACATTCACACATGTACATCCACATATGCACATCCCCCTACTACACACACAACTTCTAAGAGGAAAGGGTTATATAAGGAGTCTTATTATTAGCTAATGCTAATTAAATTGTTAATATGTTCAGGATGAAACTGTGTCAGACACAGAAGTAGTCAAAAGTGTAATAAATCAACTTACCTGAGGTGTCTCGTGGCCTTTTCTACTATAATTTTGTATGAAGTCCACAAGACCATGAACCACTGTTTTAACAGCTACCATTGCATTTTCCAACTGTTCCCAAGTTGGTGAAACAGCATCTAAATTAAGAGCCAAAGGGATGGGGTAGGGGATGGAGGAGACAACATATCAACAATCATTCCCTTGTGCTATTTACATCAGAGTTCCATAAAGTACAAGCACTGGTACATTTTCCCACATACCTGGATTAGGGTCTATGTTTGCAAGAAGCTCTAAATGAGGCCTTAGTCTATTTAAATTAGCTGGGTCACCAGTTCGTTGCAAAACAATTGTCAATTCCTGGACACTCTTTGCAAATGATTCCGGAGACTGTAGCTAACAAACAGAAAAGGGAATGATTTTTACTCTGGATTTTAGAACACACCTATATTCAAATGCTTTCCAATAGATTAATTTTCTTAATAAGTTTTCAAGTGTCTTCAGATTTCATAATAGGACGATCAATGATGAATTAAATTTTCATCTCAGAATCTGCCCTATGAAACTCATCACTAGACACTTAGAAAACCTATTTATCAGTTATACTAGCTCTCTAGGCCCAGAATGTAGATAAGTTTTCAACCTTACAACGCTATAAAAGCAAAACATACTCAGTAGAAAGTGTTCCACATTTTACATCTAATTTTTCCCAGATGAGTGATATGAAATACAGTATTTACATTGTGGTACAATAGCACTGAGCTACAGCTCTAAGTGAGCCACGTAATTGCATGATGGTAAAAGCCAATACTCCACAAAGCCCAAAGTGTACAATGCTGGTAAGTTATCATGTTCACTAGGTTAGACGTGTGAAATTAATGTCTGGGTCAGGTGGGCACATTGGGTTATAAACAGAGGAGTGTATGTGTGATAGTACTCTGTGAAATAGAAAGGGTATAAGATCAGTACCTCTAATTTCACAAACCTTATCAATGATAGATTGCATGTGTGATTTATGAGCCAAGTCCCCATATAGCAGCGAGGACCACTGCTCAGGTGAAATACGGAGTCCTGCTTCCATAGCAATGTGAACAATTTGGGCATCATGTTCTCTGCGCAGTGCCTCATAACTCCGAAATTCCTCCTTTAGCTGCATCAGGGAAGAGTCTTCATCCCTTTTAGTAACCTAAAAATGGAAAACAAAAAACAAAAAACAAAAAAACCAAACTCAATCAAATTATCTTGCTCTTTCCCCTTACCCAATTCATTTACTTTGGGTGTGAGGGTTGGGATAAAAGGAGATATATACCAGACACCACACAAAATAGAAAATGTCAACACAAATTCTTTTCAGAAAAAAAAAAAAAAAAGAAATTATGTAACTATGTATTCAGTCCTTGTCTTCAAGAAGGTCATCAGCATTTGGCAGGGAAGAAAGACTTAGAAAAAAAAAATTATAGTAATGGTCCTATAAGGGTCCATAGCAACACAAACAAAAGGCAATTAAATATGATGAGGAAACAGAAGAAAATTGTTCAGAAAAGGTCTTCTCTTGGCTGAAGACTATATGACCTACGTCATGAAAAATAAGATTTTTTTAAAATATTTATTTATTATGTATACAGAATGAATGACTGCAGGCCAGAAGAGGGCACCAGATCTCACTACCATGTGGTTGCTGGGAACTGAACTCAGGACCTCTGGAAGAGCAGTCAGTGCTCTTAACCTCTGAGCCATCTTTCCAGCCCCGAAAAATAAGATTTCTTTAGGAAGAGGAAAGAGGGAAGAGGGAAAACCAAATTCTAAAAAAGAAAAAGGTAAAATAGAAAAATGAATGAGCAGAGGACACAAAGTTAAAAATTATTATTTTGTTAAAAATTATTATATATTATATATAATTATTATTATATTGGTCAGTGAAGACTCAAAGATGGCCTTAAATATGATGATAAATAAGGTGTTAAATCCCGAAGTGAACAAAAAGTCACCAAGAATTTTTATAGAAGGGCTATGAACAGATACATGTCTTTAAAAAAAACATCCTTTTCCTTGGTTGGAAAGTTTGTTTGTTTGTTTGTTTGTTTGTTTTTTCTGTTTTAGTGAAAAAGAGTCTTGCTTTCTTATTTGAGGAAGAGCAGGGCTGAGTGCATTGCATCTTTTTATTTACTATGGTTCTTTAAGAAATGAGATATTGCAGTTTCAGAAAGTAGAGTCCTGTTTCTAAGGTTAAGATTGTCTTTGTACGAAGAACAGTGCTGTGTAGGATGAGTACTTGTTTTTGTTTTTGAATATTCATAAAATCTGTGTGTGTGTGTGTGTGTGTGTGTGTGTGTGTGTGTGTGTGTGTGTGTGTGTGTGTGTGTACAGGTCAGAGGACAACCGTGGGAGTGAGTACTCATCTTCCATCTTGTCTCTGTAGGCCATTTCTGAGGAAATTTCCTTTCACCTTCTATCCATCTCACTGTATAGGCTCTGGGATTTAAGATTCAAAGCACATAAAACCACACTAAATTCTGAGATTCAGACAGGACAAACCATTTGATCTATTCAAACTTCAACTTTTCCTGCTGAGCATGAGGGTGCAAGCTTAAAATACCAGCATTCAAGAAGCTCAAACAGAAGAATCACGAGCACAAGTTTGGCTTGCAATATATAATAAGACCTTGTCACAAACAAACACAACTTTGTATTCCTCACTGGTGAAAGAAAACAGCTCCAGATTACCTCAGTGATTGAGTATATTAAGAAGATCTGCCGCTGCAGCCTAGCCTTGTCTCAAAATTGCAGAAATCCCCTTGTCCAAACCTCTCAAGTACTAGGATTACAGGTGTGGACCACTATGCCTTGCCTTAGTAACTTTTTATTTCTGCTGCTGATACATTTGACAGTAGCAATATGTCCCTCAAAACATCAACATGAGGAAATGGACCATCAACTAAGAATCAATAGGTCATATATTCTTTGGGAATTTAAAATTACTTAAGAGTTTGGGCCAGGCGGTGATGGCGCACACCTTTAATCCCAGCACTTGGGAGGCAGAGCCAGGCGGATCTCTGTAAGTTCGAGGCCAGCCTGGGCTACCAAGTGAGATCCAGGAAAGGC